GAAGTCTGAACTCTGCACTGTGACTTGCTATATAAATAATATAATGGTGCTACCAGCAGGGTTACATTCCCCTTGTTCAGGGAAGGCCAACTCAACATGAGCTGAGTGCTGCACCAAAGGACTGAGAAAAGACTTAGAAATATGAAATTTCTCTCAACTCTGACATGCTTTAAGCTCTCATCCTTAAACAATTGCTAAACAGATGACAAAGAGGAGCAAAGCAGCACAACAGTTCAGTAGGACCACTGCCTTTGCAGAAAGGTTTTGCTGCAAGTATTCGATGTAGCTGGACTGTGAAATGGTTCAAGGAAACTCCTTAGACTGTGTCAGCAGCCTCAGCAAAACCCACACAGAGCTGGACACCTCATCTCAGCCATGAGACAGGAGCTTCATTAGATGGACAGCTGTGACTGCAAGGCTGAGCTTCCCTCTCCTGCTCAGGCAGGCAGGAATGGGTGAGGAGAACTCATGTGAACCTCTGCACCTGACCACGATCAGTCCTTACTGGATCAGCAAAAGTCATCCAGACTCAATGTTGAGTGAAAGCAGAATGCAATGCACAGAAAACCGAGTGTATTCTGCAGTATCCTCTGAAGAATCTGTATTCCATGGAAAGCACAGCTGAAAAAATGAGAATACGGGCAGAATCAAGTATGTGGCACAAAGGGAGCAAGGAAAACCAGAGATGTCCTGTGCACTACCCACTTCACAGCCTTTCCTAGCTTTCTCACTGGTTTCCTTTTCTAGCTGGAAACTTCTCATGCTTAGTTACCAGCTGAAGCCACATAGCAAAACATATGTGTAATTCATTCGTGCATATAGAGCTAATTACATGCTCCACTGGTTGGCTAAAGGAATTCACACATCCCACCAGCCAAATAGTTTTGGACCAAGGAGCTGAAAAGCTGAGGAGTCAGTATTACACTAGCTAAAATTTTCAGTGAAAGCATGACTGAGAAAGGAAAAAACACACACATCCAGGAAAAGTTTGAATGCCCCTCAGAAATGAACCATCTGAGCAAGTTCGTTACAGATGATGTCCATATGGGATTTCGCAGGCAGGTGTGAACTTGCTCTGTCTGCATTCAGAGCTGGCTGAGCACAAGGAAGCCTTGGACAAGTGAGGTCATTAACTTGGGCTGTGCATGCTGTTAACACAGCCACGCAGCTCCTCAGCTGGGGCACAGGGAGACCTTCTTTATGCCTGCCTGTGTAGCAAATATTCACACAAGGGCATCCGCCTTTCACACTGGCACTTCTTTGCAGAGAGAATGGGGCTTTGTTTAAGAGCCGCCAACTATTCAGTGCCGGAGAGACCAAGAATGAATTCAGACACGATCCTATTGTATGCAGCCCGCTGATTGTTGTTTGTCTAAATAGTCAATAATTGCATAAAGTCACAGCTAAGTGACCAGGCTAAGACTTTTTTCAGAAGGCCAAAGGTCTAAAGTCAGCTACTAAATACATATGCAAGYGGTTCAAAAAGACAGCTCGGTTTCCAGAGCAGCCAAGCCTCCCAGCTCTTCTCAGAACTARTTTAGATGTGCAGCCTTAGTGAGAACCATCTTTCAGGTGTGTGGCTGTGGGTGTCAGGCAGCCTGAAGTAGACATCAGCATTGGCACATTTTGGTGGCAAGTCGGTGTGATGTGATTGGTACCTGTAGGATGTCAGCCTTTGGGAGCTGTATGAAGGAATTTATATTCCAGCCTTGTTGCTTTATGTCTGGCTGCCAGATTCTGACTTGGGTTTTGTCTTTGCCTCCTCCTCCCCCACCCTCCATTTCAATTCCTTTCGACTGCTTTCACCCTGCTGTGGTCTTTGACCCGCTCTCGTCCCTCCTGGTTTCTTCSTTGAGAACACGCTCTTGCAGGGAAAGGAAGACAGAGTGAAACATTAGACTGCATGTTACGATGATTAAAAGGCATGTAAGAAAACCAAGACTGTCATTTTAATCTCTCTCTAATGTTCATTGGCATGTCTTTGAGATAGGGTACCGTGCTGACAATAGTGATGGACAGGGTGTGAGATTGGCCCCTTGAACCCAGGGGCCTCCCAGGAATGGATCATGTCTAGACCTGGTTTGCATCAAGGGCCAAACCGGATAAGCTGATTAGCCAATTAGAAATAGTTCAGCTAGTGGAGTAGAGGGACCAAAGAGAGCTGAAACTGGAGGTCATGTGGACATCACAATTGATTAATAACCCCGTGGTGATGTGGAAGCTGGGAGGGGCTGGCACTGAAGTGGGAGGAGGAGTCCCAAGTACAAAACCAGAAGATGAACAGGAGATATTTTCATGTGTTTGTGGTTTCTCTTGCTAGAACCTGACCAAGAGGAATGATCAGACATCAACCCAAAATGTGGAGAATGGCGGTATTTGATCTCCCACCAAAATATTTCTAGCAAGCCCTTTAAATGTCACATGCAAAAGTCTCATTCTAGAGCTTCCAYTTCCCATCTTTACCAGAGTATTTATTTTAGTTCACTTTATTACTACCAGTCCCTACTATATATGGATACTACTGACACTAAATATGGTTTTCATCATGACACTCCTAGAATGTTCTATTGTGGGCACCATTAGTCAGGGATAATGTGAATCATAGGAATTTAAAATTACTTACTTGGAACATCGTTGAAAGCCAAACACAACCAATGCAGAGGTGATAGCTTCAAATAAATGAAAGAAAGACAATTCTGAATTCCATTTGGAAAGATACCACCTCTGCATCACCAGTGCTCTAAATCCAGGTCTTGCTCAATTAAAGGTGATCAGGCTGCTGCTTGCTCTCTTGATTCCTAAGACCATGATGTTCCCAGAGGTGTGCCTCACTGGCAGAGCAGTGTTATCCCTCCTTGCTGCCTTCCACACTGGGAAGGCACGAGGAAAGATGGTCCCTCAGCACTGCRGGATGTGCTCCTCTGCATTCTGTGCAGAGCTTCTGCCTGTTCAGTCCACCTGGAGACAGGAAGGTGGCACAGGGGTGAAAGGCAGGGCCTGTGTGTGTTCACAGGTGGGAGCAGGTGCTGATGTGCTGCCCTGTGTCTCGCTCCTGCCCTGATCCCTGCTCACATCAGCTTTTCAGGGAGAGAGGGGAAAGCTGTGATCTGCCCTGGTGAACTGCAGCCCAGTGGGTGCCTTCCAACCAGGCATACCTGAGGCATTCAGGGGCTGTCAAACAAGACGTTGTCAAACATCCCCAAGTGACAGAGAACAACAGGCTCCTGATGCAGTGGGAATATCCATTTTGACCATGTAGGAACAATGTCTGATTTTTTTTTAAAGAGGGGGCATGCCCCAAGTTTACTTAGATTCAAGACAGAATAGAAGTGGACAACACCCTTAAGCTTCCTTGTTTAAGATACTGCTTTATCTCTGGTTCATAGGCCACAGTTATGCATTCAGACCATTTTGGGAGGCTGTCCAAGGCTTTCTATACAAACAATGCTCCTTAACTAAAGATCTATGTCTACAGACTTTCCAGAGAAGAAATCTCTTTTCAAGAAAACTTCTTCCACTTTTCTGACCAGCAGGAAAATCTTCTTAATAATGTCTGATCTGCATTTCTCCTGTTGCATTTACATCCTTCAGTTCTCAGTCTGGGAGAAGARGCAATTTCCTTCTTCTCTGTGGAAGTTTGTTTTATCTAAAATTTATTTCATTCCTCTTCCACTGTTAAACAGCCTCCATGCAAACTTCTTCTGCAATTCCCATTTTCCAGACTTCTGCACTGCTATGTTGGTTCTGTCCTGCCTTCCTCCATACACCCTGTGTCTTTTAAGAAGTGCGGTGCACAAAACAAAACTATGTATTGCCCCTGAGGCCCTACCAGTGCTGAGTAGAATGTATCAWCTAAGATCTATTCACATTTATATATTCCAGGATAATATTTGACATTTTCACAGAAGTATGATGCAGCTGGCTCATTTGACAACTCCTTCTGTGATCTGCCAGAATTCTTCCCAGTCTTTTTTTGTGCAAAATTTCTAAAAATTGTCATTATGGGCTTATGCTGATGATTATTCCTGTCTAAGTGTATGTATTGTGTGGGTTCTTATTGAATTGCCTCCTATTTAACTTCTTTTTCAGACCATTCCTCCAGTCTGGCAAGATCATTTTGAATTCTAATCCTGTCCTGTACCAGACTCACAAGTAATCCCTGCCTGGTGTCATCTGTAAATTTAATAAACATTTTCAATATTCCATCATGAGGTCATTAGCAAAAATATTCAACACTAATTCCAGATGGTCTCTTACATTTCTGGGCAACACCGAATGTGTTGAAGTATTCCCATGACTGACAATTCCCTCCATTTGTGTTATTGCTGAGAACTTTGGATCTGGGCTGTGTGGTCACCAAGGTTGGGAAAAACTCTTGCATGTAGATGAAGTGAGCATTCYTGCTGGCGTGGCATGCTACATCCCCATCCAACTTAAGGAATGGAAAGAGCTGCGCATCTTTCTAGTCTATAGGAAATAGATCAAATYCTGCTTAATAAGACAGGCACTTTCCCCTTCATCTTCACTTATTTCTAGTGATGTATTTATGTCCTCAACTCACCCCTATTATTGAAATCTCATTCTTCAAATGAGGCAAATGTAATTTTAAGGCAACTGCTTTTAATTTAGACAGTCACTACTCATGACTTCTGAAAGCAAATGCTGGGTTGAAAGACTTCAAAGTAGTATCTTAAGCACCAGTATCCACAAAAAGAATAAAATAATATTTGAGCCTCAAAAAACCTCACTTTTTTAGCTATGGCATGATGTTTCAAGAAAAGGACAATATACAGGGAGTCAAAACCACATGGCCAGTACATGCTCGCACAGACTTCATAGCAAACTAGAAGATTTGAAAACTAAGAAGGAAAATGCTTTTTGTCACATTGCCACAGAAGAAAAGAGAAAATGATGCATCAGTCTTAGATGCTGGCATAGTAATGAAAGCAGCATGGTGAAATCAGTATTTTTTTAATCAATTTTTTTAATTAATGGGAGTTTTAATATAGGATCAAACTTACAGCTTCACTGAAATCACAGACATGGTCAGATCACTCATATGACTGGAATGCTGACAGATGCTACTTGTTCAAGGAGAATGGACAGCAGAGATATAAAAGAGGTGTCACTGTGACCCTTGTCTATAAACTTGTTCTGAAATCCAGAAGACAGATGGAGTTGGCCTTGCTGAAAGTATGCAAAGGTGGAAATAGGATGCCATTGTCAGAATTTGCTGGAGTCTGTTAAAGGGCATCCATTCATGAAGATTAGGTGTATGAGGCTCTTTGAGAGTAACTAACAAAGATATCTGAAGCACAGGTCTTGTGGGAAGTGGAAGCTACATTTAGAGACATTTGTTGAACAAATGAATTCAGTAGCTTAAAAAATTTTCAGCACCTTTATGTCACAGAGTTATCACAACCTTTGTTTGTATTCAGAAGACCCAGAAAGGAATTAAAGGAAAAAGTCCTCTGGGTTTGAGTCTTAGCACAAGGGAGGAGCAGTGTAGGAAAGGGAAGGTGGAAGGCAAGAGTAACCATGAAARGTAGCTTTCATGGTCTTTGGAGAGGCAAGGCAGAAGAGAACCCAAACCAATGGGTTTCAGCTAGACAGACCTCAATATGCTGGGGAAAATGCAAAAAAACAGAGGGCTTTGGGAGAGTTCCCCAAAGAAACAGTGCTAAAGGCTGAYGTTTAGATGCAGAAAAAAAGACTATAAATGAAAAACACTCACTTCTCTTCATTGATCTCAAAGACAATAAGGAACCACAACAAGTAGAAGCAAAACCAGATGTCCAAGGATGAGTATGAACAYAGCCATGTAAAGCAAGGTCTGGAAACTTGAAATTAAATTAGCAAGAGACAACAAAGGTAACAGAATTCAATCATTGATTAAAAAGAAGATGGAGGAAAATGTTAGCTCATTACTCCATGAAGAGGAAAGATAATGGGGAGATTACAATGAGCAGATCAAAGTGTTTCACATSTTTTWTAATTGCATCTAAAATGGCCAAATRTGAGGATGCAATTAGCACAGCCAAYCCAACAAAAAATAGGTAAGATTTAAGGCTAAGTAGAAAAAGTACAGCCTTGGGAGTATTTAGGAAAACAAGATTTTGCACACAGAGGAAAAGGTTTTACCATGCATCTCAACAAAACATGTGACTCCAGATGGTTTTAAAATGTTGTAGAAATGGTCTGAAAAAAGCAGGTGGGATGACAGCAAGACCAATGGATTAAGTTCAGGTAGACTCTGGAGTTGCACATGTAGTAAATTTTATAATGCTAAAAATGCAGAAGGATATTTTGATTAGAAAGGAATCTCTTTGAAAAAGGGATTTGTGCATTAGCTGAATGTGAAAYAGCAATGATGGACTGGTGTGGAAAAGGCAAATTATTGTATGTGTACAAACAGAAATTCAAGCCTTCACATCATGAAAAGTGATACTACACTCTACTTAGTAGTGAGAAGGCTTCACTGAAATTTTATTCCTTAAACTTACAGAGGCACTGCCACAAAAAAAGAAGAGCTGCCCGAAATGTAGAAAATGCTCTCTATGAAAAAAGACTAAAAGAATCAGGGTTGTGTAAGGAAAATTGAAGGAGAAATGGTAACTTACTTTCAGCAAGCAAATGGTTGTTGAAAATAAAAAGGAACTGMTGTTTTAATTGTACAGACATAGGAAATTATCAGGTCTATATTGCTACATGAAAAGTAATTTCTGCAKTTAAAAATTTTTCCAGTAGCAGGTRTAGGYTGCTTGAGAAAGATACRAAGTAGCCATCTCATAATGTCTTCAGGACCAATCTGCAAATAAAGCATACATTTATTAGTAATGGTATGGTCAATCTTGCTTTAGGACAGAAAAAGTCTATAATATTTTGAGCCTCTCTCCCACTCAACTTGTTCAGTCACATCCCTGAACAAAGGCAATATATGAGGCATCAAGTCCTATGCCTGGAAAGGATGCTTGAAAGTCATGTACTTCCACAGAGGTGCCCCATCACATCCAACTGGGAGTAGATATGGCAGCAGAACTATAAGAACAAAAGGAAATTGTATTCTTTTCAGAGGCCAGGAGTCTGCTGAGCTCCTTGGCCATTCAAATTTCCTGACTACCACATGGTTTCTTCAAGACCATTCCTAAACCCTTGCTGTGTGCAGGTACCTACATCCTTATCCTTGCCTGCACAAGACCTCTGACTTCCTCCAGTCTATCCTCTGGCCACCTTTTCAGGGCAAGACAAGCCAAAATTCAGGGTCTCCTCTTTGTGCTGCACTCATCCAAGCCATAAAAAAAATCTAGAGTCAGAAGGGAACAAAATAAACAGGGCAGGCAGCTGTTAGACAGCTGCATCAAGCTTTCTGACCCTTGTTATATATCCATTTGTTTTGTTTGTATATAGTGCTGTACAAAAAAGGCTAACTGGTGGCACTTTGAAGGGAAATTTTTCTATTACTCATCTTCTAACTTAACATGATTTTCTCTTTATTTATTTAGCTTTCCACTCTCACTTGAGTTTGCAATAATTTAGTGCAGATGTTGTATCTTTCTGTAATTTATTAATATTAACTTGCTTTTCCCTCCCTTTTCTGTAAATGTTTTTCAAACGTTCACACTATGACTGTGTGATTTCCCTTGCTTGTCTCCAAGCAAAGGAGCTGAAAGCTTGCAAGAAGAGAATGTGCTGGAGGCATTCTGTCAGCTGCACTACTGCAAGAAGCCAGAAGCAAAAGGCCACCCAAGGAAGGGAAGTGGGCAATGAGCTCACCCCAGTCAGTGCGTACAGGAAGGCTTTCATGCCCAGCAAGGGTGTAGAGTCATGCAGGAAAGATGTAGAGAACAGGGGGAACTGTTGATTTTAGGCAGGAGATGGGTAGCTTCTCCTTGGGACCCTCAGCTGACTCATGTTCCCTGCTTTGAGAAGAGGTGGACTTCTGGTGTTTACAGAGACAGTGGGAGAATGACCATCTTCAAAAGGTCACTGAGGAGGCATCCAGTCACTGATTGACTCAGCAATAGTGGCAAAGAGCAGATGTGGCACTGTCCTGTGTGCCTGGTTTGAGACAGAAGCACAATGGGTCAGCAAAGTTTTGCCCTGATTATGCATTTGCCCGCCTCCTGAGCAAGGACTTCAAATGGCCCAGCCTCAGAGAGGGACCCAGAACTGCCATTCACTTTTGCTCAAAGGAYAAATGTCACAAGCAGTTCATTCAAAAGAGCAGCTGGAAGATGAAGCTGCCCACACTCTAACTGAGGTTTATAACGGTGATGAGTGTGCAAGACAGAGAGCTGCACATAGTCATTTGCCTTCCATGGGAAGGTTTGCCCCATATCTTCCAGCATCTGGAGGGAAGCCTAGCTGCCAAACTTAAGAGTAGTCTGCCTGGCAGACAGGAGGGAGGAAGGCCCTGCTCCCCAGGATCTTTTGATTCATGACTGGGAATATGCTGTGCATTGAACAATAATTAAGAAGAAAGCAGAGAAGGCAAGAAGAAGAGAAAAGAAAAAACAGAATCCAAAGCACAAATCAGGATCTATCTACAGCACCAGGCTGTCCCCAGACAACCCCCTATCTGAAAGACAGCAAGAACAGTCAAGAGTGCAACATACTGATGTTCAACTCTTCCAGCAAGGTAAATGTAACTCTTCAGGTGTCTCTCTGAGGGGATGCAGAAGGGGAAACACCTGTTCAAAAGAAGTTTCCTTGGATGAACAAGATGGGGAGGCACCAAGAGGTGGATTCTGACCCAAGTTTCTGCTAGACACCTGTTAGGTGGCAGCAGACTAGCAGAARTTTTTGGAGTCCATCAGCTGCTTGTTCTTCACGTCCCTGACTGCGCAGCTTGTGGTCATTGGTGCTTCATGGAGATCAGTGGCGTTTCCAGCACCRCCTGCACAGGACGGACACACAATATCCAGCACACCCAGAAGCTTAAGGAAAAAAAGTTTCCATGACCCTAGAACACTGCAAATATATTTTGGAGCTATTGAATGCATCAAGAGGCTCAGAATGACATTTTCTGAAATGTTTTTAATACTCCTYATATTATTTGAACATGGATCACCCTGGGTAAAGCATTCTTGGATGTCTTCTACTGGGTTTCCAGTGGAGGCATCCAAAACCTTAGTGTTACCTTAGACAAGTGAGAATTAGAATCCAGCTAGGAGTGGAGAAAACTTTTTCCATTCCTTTGTGTTTACCTGCTTCTCTCCACRCTATGTGGGCCTGTACAGGAGCAGTCCAGCATGATAAATCAGCTCCAAGAAGGGAAAGTATTTCCAAATGTAGGAGAAACAGGAAGCTACACAAATTCTTTTCCTCCTAGCACTCGGAACAATTGGAATGGGGTATGCTGTGAAATGAGGATGTGGTTGTGCTGCAGTCACACATCTCATGGCTGGCCAGGCTGAGCCCTGGAACCRTGAACACTATTCTACACCCACCTGCTCCATTTGACTGAGCAGAGGAGCCAGCTGTCCTGCTTTCAGGAGGTAATATACTTCTGGATGTGCATAGTCCCATTTCCCCAGACTACGTGGTGATCAAGATGCCGAAAAATTCATGGTGGATAAAAGGGAGAAAAGTTCAGAAGGCTGCAAAGTTATCATCAGGTACTTCATGGTCCTTTGCAAAGCAAAATCACTTTTTGGGACTGCAGTGCTGGGGAGTAAGGCTGTATTCCCTTTTTCCTCCTCCTCRAAGCTGCTTCACCTAGACCTGAGTGGTAGGGCTATCATCCTGGCTTCACAGATCTCCTTTAGGTTTCTYATCCTCTCTTTCTGCTTGACACACATGACATTTTTGTCCATGTTTTGATGCTGCCACTGCCTGCTCCCTTCTGTGACSATGTGGGATGTGTTCTCCTAACAGTATGGGGTCCCTTCAGCTGACTACAGTGAATTTTTCACTTGGTGGGCATAACCTGATGGTTATAGAGCAAAACATCTGCATTTATTTCCCAGCCATCCTTCCTTGTGCTCTGTTGATATAGATTATTTCCTRTAGGTACAAAGAGCAAAGCTTTGTTTTTGATGCCCACAGAAGTCATTCATGGTCTCCACTCCACTGGATGAAGCGAACAGTGCCAGCCCAAACCCCCATCCGCTGTCTGGGATGTGAGCCCCATGGGGAGTGGAGGCCCACAGCCTCAGTGGGTGCCTGCTGCTGTATCTTCATGAGGTCAGTGGAGCAACAGGCTTGCACACTCACTGTGAGCGTGGCCCTGCAGGGCAGGGGTGATAAAGTAAACAACAGGAGGGAAATTTGAGTGACAGCGATATCTGTTTTGGCTCTTCCACAGAMGTGCTAGCAGAGAATGAAACAGATATTCCAAGGCATTTTGCTCCTCTCTGTCCCAGCTCATTTCTTATCCTTACAAAGGCAGTTAGCAAGCCCAAATTGGCCTAACAGTCCATTAGGATGCGATCTGCTCCAAGCCGCCCACAATGCAAAATATTTGAAAGCTCAGATAAAACTTTTGCTCCATTTTCCATCTCTGTGAGATGGGGGGTGTGCAATGTGGGGAGTGTGATGCCACACTCAGGGCCAAGTATGATACATGATGGCACAAAACCAAACCAACAGAGAAGTAGTGCTGATCCTGCCCCACCAGCTAAGTTCTTCTCTTTGGAGTTTACTCTGGAAAAAACAACACTGTAACTTGCTTATGAAGCTGGTTATTTGAAAATGATGGTTTGAAACTTGGGTGGCTTCTGGGGAAACATGCTGAAGAAAAAGCGAAGCTGGTTTTTGTGCAGAGGATGTCAGGGGATGAAGAAATAGTATAAGGAATTTCACCCCCAAAAAAAAAAAAAACCCAACAAAAAAGAAGCAGAAGATGTTTTGTAAATTGCTAGGATAAAACTGTCTCCACAAGGGAAAACAGATAACAGGAAACAGAGGACAAGRCAAAATGAAAATGAAGGATCTGGGTAACATCACTGAGTTGCATGATGCCCCTCCAGGACCTACTTCAGAGCTGATTAGAACTGATGGATGACTTCCCACTGACCTCAGTGGACCAGGTCCTGTTTCTCAAAAATCCTCTTCCTAAGGAAGAGGATCCTTTCCTAATCTGCTTCCTAAGCAGAGGAAAGGTGGTGATGTAGAGCTCCCACATAGATGAGAAGTGTGAAGCAACACAGAGAGYTAGGGATTGCAGAGACCTGAATGGACCTTCTAGTTTTCCAAGCAATACAATATTCTGTGCTAGACAGCAKTGTCTTCTTGTCACTGCAGGAAAGTTTCCATATCCAAACAGTATCTAGGGACTGTGAAGTCCCGGACAAGCCAAACCCATGCCCTGGCTTCAGAGGTTCAGCAATGGATCCACATAAARGAGCAAGCCAAAGTGCCCACTTAGAGAGGTGGCAGACACCAGTAAGAAGCAAGCCAGTGTCACTGTTTGGGTGAAACTACCCTGGTGAAGTGGGGGTCAGTGTTCAAGTTTTCAAGCCTTTCTCTTTCAGAGCAGTTTAGGTCTGTGGTCTTACAGCCTCCATCCACAACTGCTTTATTCTGCAAGGGTCTAAAACACTGCTCCAAGCTTGAAAACAATGTTTAGAGAGACTTGTCTTCAATACAGACAGACAGCACAAGAACATTTTAGTCAGGAGCAGCCTGAATTCTTTGTGAAGAAAGRATTTCTTCACTTTTCAGATGGGTGGGATGGGGAAGTGTCTGCTTACATGTCCAAATCACAGGATTAAAAGCTCTACCTCCCAGGAACACACAATCAAACCTTAGTCTGTCCTGCAGGACCCTGAAGACTTACTGGGAGGTAAGGGAATTAGAAAGGCTTTA